TTTTTCTTAAAATATATATTCTTTTACTTTTAAGTTTTTTAAATTAGTGTGTAAAGATAAATGTTGAATAATTTAAGTATTTCAAATTTATTAAGATAAACAGCCAAAGATAGATGAAATTGAATTAGGCCCTCCACGTAAAGGGATAAAGTTATAGAATAAATAGGTGTTCAATCAAATTTAAATACGCTACCAAAATAAAAGCAAATTACGCACCCGAACCATAATAAAATGTAGAAGTTAGATTAAATTACTGGACAATACTAGTTAAATATAAGATTCCAGAGGGAGTATAAAAATGAATTGAATTATTTAAATAAACTTTTACACCTATTGAACCATTATTTATACTGGTACCCTCTTGTGGTTCTATTTTTTTTAAAGTAAAAGGTGATTGATAATCAATATATGTAAACTTAGAAGCCGTAGCAGTCGTGGCAAAGTCAAAAAAAGGTTTTTGTTCCAAGTAATAAATTTTTTTTTGTGTCATACTTCTTTTTCTTCTATTAAATAATAATCTTCCATCTAATATTATTTTTATTCCTCCTATTATAGAATTTAATTTATAACCTAATATACTTTTTATATTATTATAATTTAAATTACAATTTTTACTTAGTCCGGTACTCAAATTTAAACGTGAAAGTATTAATCTAGAACATATTTTATTAATACTAAATTTAGTTATATAATAACCTATTAATTGAGATAATATACTACTTGATAAATAAGGTTTTTTTAAACTTATAAAATTTAAAGTAAATTCTTTTCCAAATAATAAACGTAAACTTTGTATTAAAAAAAAATAGGGGACAGGTGACATATTATGAAGGTTAGATTTAATTGGAGCAAAGGGTGAAACTGGTGTCCAATAATAAATTATAACATTAACCGTATTAAGTTTATAAATAAAAATAGGTTCATGAATAAAAGCCCATTGTTTAAAGAAGGATGACAGTAGCTTTTTTATTTGTTTTTCTTGATATTCTTGATTTATATATTTATCACCAAATGAGATCATATTCCAATTACCTAATACAAATAATTTTAAACTAGCAGTATGTGATGAAGCCATAATATTAAAGGTTAATAATATCTCGTGGTTAATAAAATCTATAATAAAATATATTTATACAAGGAGGGTAAAGATAAAAAAAATATCTTAGTCAAGTTAGCTTAATAGGTAAAGCAGTAATCTTGTAAATTACTAAATGCGGGTTCGAATCCGGCACTCGGCTTAATTGAATGTAGCCAAGTTAGGTAAGGCAACGAAATTTGAATTCGTTAAACAGGGGTTCGAATCCCTTCATTCAAAAATGGCAGAATAGTTTAAAGTAAAACATTTGTTTCATATACAAAATATAAGGATTCATCTCCTTTTCTGCTAAATAATAAATTGCCTTAAGGATGACTTGAACATCCTACCCAGAATTTTCAGTTCCGTACTTTAACCAGTTAAGCTATCAAGGCGGGGCATGAGAATATTAGGATTTGAACCTAAATTACACAGATTAAAAGTCTGATACTTTACCAATTAAGTTATATTCCCGTTAAAGATTAAGAAGTGATTTGAACACTTATTTATAAGATTTGCAATCTATTACATTACCAAATTATGTTACTTAATCTTAAGGCTTTGTAGCTTAAGGAAAGCAATTGTTTGTCGAACAATAAGTTGCCGTTTCGTCGACGGTCAAAGCCGGTAGCTAGAATCGAATGGAATTGAACCAATATTTTTTGCTTATCAAACAAATACTTTAACCGTTAAGTTACGATTCCAATGGGTCTTGCCACACCGCCGTAGCGTGAAGGCCTGTGCCGGGTACTGTCAGACCACTCCCCCTTGTTATGGGTCGAACCTCCTTAGTGAACCTAGGCTTTTTCCCGTTGATCCCAGTACGATTCGAACGAACATATCAGCAATGAAAAAGCTGTATCCTACCCTTAGATGATGAGATCTTTAAGAAGAATTAGATTTGAACTAATATCTTTCCTGTTATGAGCAGTAAGCTTTACCGTTAAGCTATCTTCTCTGAGAAATTTGGGATTTGAACCCAAAATGGAATAATCCATCGTCTTTACAGGACGATTGCAATACCAAAATGCTTATTTCCCGGCGGCTGTGTGACCTAATGCTGCAGCTGGAACCCTACTACTACTACAGTCAGATCGGTCCCCCCCTCCTAGGTGTTAAGCCCTTTTTTACCTACTGAGGGATTTGAACCCTCACGCTTTTAAGCAAACAATTTTAAGTTATTTGAGTCTACCTATTTCTCCAAGTAGGTTACCTTCAGTCAATATAGGTTAATTGGTAAACCGTCCCTCTTCCAAAGGGAAGTAGTATGTTCAAATCATATTATTGACATAGGGGATATAATATAAAGGTAGTATATAGGTATTGCAAACCTAAAGAAAGAGTTCAATTCTCTTTATCTCCAAGCAGTTAGTTAAAGAAAGACATGCCGTTTATTGGTGCGATCGATTTTTTGTACACGACCGATGACTACTATGGGTTTACTTACTTTTGGGGTCAAATTTTTTGTAATTTTAAATGGATTATTATTATTTTTTTGGGTAAATCCAA